GTCAATATAAATAAAATGAATTATTCTTATTATTATATATAATAATAAACAGAGAGAAATTGTACGTATCCCTAGCTTACTACAATTTTTTATCAAGAAATAAAATTTTTGCATGTTTCTGATATATTTTAGATGGAAATTAATTTATATATCTATAAACATACCCTTCCATAACTTTAGCAATAAACGGCAACTGCATCTCAATGCTATGCTCTTCTTCATCTGTGTTCAAATCCATGCATTCAAAATGACCAGTTTCTTCAAGTTCTCTTCTCACTGTTAAAAATATATCCATTTTGTAAAAAAATTCAAGGATTGTACTTTATATGCTATATATAAGAAGCATTTTTCCTTACTTAAAATGTATTTTTCACTATTTGTTACAAATTTAGCATTAAAAAAAAAAGCAAAATATAAATATGTTAATGCAGGGATAATAATGAAATGTACATATAAGCACCTTGTTGATCAATAAGTAGATCATATAACGGTGTTCGGTAAATGGAAGCCGAAGATAGGGCACAACCTGGTAATCTCACATGATGAGAAGGCCCTAGAATAAATATCCTACGGCTGCATAACAGCACGTTGCACGGTTCATTTGACTGAGAAATTTGAAAAATTACAAACTAAACTATATATTATAAAGGCTTTATATGAAAATTTACATTGATTAAACTATCACAATATAAACTGACATTCCTTTCTAATGATTACAATAAGATATTATGATTATAAAATAACATAAATGTAATTTATACAGATAGGTTTAAATTGTATTTTTACATTTTGTAAATTGTAATTAAACATTTGTTTATAAAATGTTAAGAAAATATAGATAATATAATTCACACTTACACAACTACAGGACTAATTTGTCGGTAAGCAAAACCAGCACATGCTCCACAATAGCTGTATCCTGCATGACTGTAAATTGATATACATTTAATGCATACATATATATGTGTATATGTATGTATGTGTATGTGTGTATGTGTATGTGTACATATATCTTAATAAACTTGAAGAAAATATATTGCACTACTAACGGGGAAATGATGGCTCTCGCGGGTCCATGGGATAAATCAGCAGCGCTTAACCAACCTTCCAACTGTTTACTCAGTTCTAAACCTATGGCAAACAGAGATTTAACTTTGATAATATATGAATCAAAATTTTTATTATAAAATATAAACATATATGCACGCTCGCATGCACATACACATGCACGTACGCACGCACGCACGCATACATGCATGCACAACGTACGACGCATATACATATGCACATACATACACACACACACACACACACACAGATGTTTGATGAATATAGAAATTTATTTATTCTCCTTTGAGCAAATAATAAGATAGATAAAAAGAGAGTACATTATATAATGTATGCA